GAAAGGAATGAGCACCATGGAAGAAATTCGACAAATAGAAGAATGGACAAATAGAGAAATAACCAATATACTATTTGATTCAGACATTGATAATTGGAATATTAATACATCAGTATTTGGAGAAAGAATATGGAATAAAAAACATATAATAATTATTATTGAAGATTCAGAAGGAAATAAATTTGGAGGATATGTTAATTCTAAAATTGATAAAGTTAATGGTGGTTATTGGATAAATGATTCACAATCATTTGTATTTTCATTAGAATCAAAAGGAAGAATGGAAGGAATGAAGAAATTTGATATTAAAGAACCACAACATGCATTTTGGTTAGATAATCAAACAGATGATTGTTTGTTTGAATTTGGATATGGATATAGAGGTGATATTTGTGTTTATAAAGAAAATGATAAAACAAAATCATATTGTAGTGAATATTCATTTGAATATGAAGGAATATCAAATGCACTTTGTGGAAAACAATATCCATATCGTTTCACACCAAAACGAATCATAGTAATTGAAATGAAATGATTCAATCTTGAATTAATTGAAAATGAAATAAAAAAAGAATAAAAACAAATCAATGAAGAATATGAACAGCCATTTCATTCATCTGCCAATGAATGAAATGATGAATTAAAAATTTACATAATTCAATGTTGATTTATTTTATTTCATTTAATGAAATATTCAATGAGGGTGTTTTTAATAAATAATGGAAATAAAATAGAAATAAAATGATAAAATGGTGATATTAATTAATTTAATAATAAATGATTATAATGAATTTCATCATTATTATAAATTAGATAATTATTGAATAGTTATTATTTGTTGTTTTATTTCTTTTATATCTTTATTCACTTTATTTCCTTTCTTATTTTATTATTATTTTGTTATTCTTTATGATTGTGTTTAAATGATTTTATTTTCTTGTTATTATTTATATTTATTCTCTTTATCTTCATATTTCATTTAATGTTTATTATCATATTGTATTATTTATTGATGAAATTATATGAATAATTTTTAGTTATTTAATTATTATTTAATGATATTGGATATTATCATTGTTTTATTTTTCACAATTAGTTATTCATATTCTCTTATTTTATTGTATTTGTTTCATTTGCAATATGAAATATTGATATTAAATATTAATTTGAAGTATTTGTTTTGTTTTAGTTTATATTAAAACTGTTTAATAAGAAAATTGATTGTTATTGATTGTTCATTATAATTTTTATTTCTTTAGTTTTCATTTAATTGATTCAATTAATTAGTTCGGCATCCACACTTCATACATGTGTTTGGTTTACGTAATTTATTGTAACATTTTCCACATGCTTTTGCTGGTGTTGCACTTCCAAGTGTTTTTCCACAAATCAAACATTTTGATCCTCCTTTTCTACATGAATGACAAAGAAGTACAACTGATCCACTCTTCAATACTTATCCACAGAACATGCATTGTTGTTTACACCATGAGCAAACTGACATTGTTTCTTTTTGCAAAGAAAGAAATAGAAAAACAACGAAAAACAAATAATATAAAAAGAATATAAATATAAGAAAAAGTAATTAATTAAGTATTAATAGATTTTTCATCTATTCTTCCTAGCTCAGGGGAGACTAATCCCATCCCTGAGCTGTTTAAAAAAAAGAGTAATCTCTTTGTTGAACATATTCTTTAGGTTTTTCTTGCAAAATGAGGAAAGCATTTCTTTGTTTTATTTCTCCTAATTAAGGGGTTTCAAACATCTTCTGCTTATTTCTTCTTTTTAAGCCTTTGTTTGTTTTCTGCCTTAATTTTCAGGAATTTCATTTTTCTTATTTTATGAATGGGAGAAGGAATCATTTTATTACTACTATATTACTTTGACTAATTTTCTTTTAGTCTTACTTTGACTAATCTTCTTTTAGTCATACCCACACTTCAGTAGATTCTTATATTACATCCATGTAATATTCTACTGTATTCTCTTGCTGCACCCTTTGCAGCATTCCCTAATACATTCCTAATTCAAAAGCACCGTCATAACCAGATAATAACTGGGAGAGTCGAAGAATGAATTTGTACTAGGGTTTATGTGTGGTGTTTCAGACGTGCCACCTTCGATCTAAAAGAATATAAATATAAAAAGAATAAAAGTAGAAAGTAGAGAATATAAAAATAAAGAAGATAAAGAGTAATAAATCACAAAGATGTAATAAAAGAAGAAAAGAAGAAATAAAAAGTGTATTTTTAATGTAAAAATTAGAAATATGAAATAAAAGTGTCTAATTTAATGATGTAAAATAACTAATATTGTTTTATTGTTGAAAAATATTTTACTCTTTTTTATGTTATTATTTATATGTATAACTTCATCATGATGTTTATTATATAATCAATCATAAGTGTTATGTTATTATAACATATAATAAGTGATAAAATATAAATGAATATATGATATGAATATATGATATAGAATATAAAATAAAAGAATAATAAGAATAAATGATAAATAAAACGAGAAATGATAATAAATGATATAATAATAAAATCAAAGTATAAAAGATAAATTTAATATTAATATAAATCAAAAGAGAATAAATATAAATTGAAAGTAGATATAAATGATAATAATATAAAAATGATAATGATGAATAAACAAATACATCTAGATAGAAAAGAATAACAATAAGAAAATCTAAATAATATAAACACAAAAAACATAAAATAAGAATAATATAATAATATATAGATAATAAGAAGAATACAATGATATAAATAATATAAAAAGAAATAAATATATAAAAATACGATAGATAAATAAAATATAAATAAAAGAATAAAAAGAATACAAATAAATATGAATAATCAAATCATTTATTCCATTAATATTTCATACAAAATAGAAATGAATATAAAATATAAACATAAATATTTATATATTCTGTATTTATCATACTTTTTATTTTTTTATTTTTATTTGTTAGGAGCAAAATATAATAAAGTGGAAAAATCTAATGATGCAAATTATTTTGCATCTTTTTTCTTTTTTGTAAATTATTTAGATGCATTTTTTCTTTGCTAATTTTCGTTCCCTTACTATATTTCAATATTTTACTCTGTCTTCTTTTGAATATTATTCATTTTTACATTCATCCAACTTCTTTTCTTCTTCAAGTATTTTGAATAATCAATTTTATACATATTACTTGATTATCTATTTTACATCATTAAATACTTTATCACATTTAGTATATAAATTAATTCTATTATATTATGAAATACTTTTCTTGATTCATCATTTATTGGAATTGTATTATAAAATAATTTTGCCATTTTTTCCTTAAAATTTTTTTAACTCCTTCTTCTTGTTTAATTACATCTTTGATATCAACATTTCATGAATGCTTTTTATTTCATCACTCTTAATTTCATTCTTTCTTTATTATTTTTAATATTCTTGATACTCAGTGATGAGATACTTTTACTCACTTAAAATGACATTCAATTTCTTTTTTCTGATATTCTATTACCTTTTCCTTATTTGAGTTTTGAATCAATAAAATACATTGAATATTGCTCTCTTCATGCTGTGTTATTTCTTAGAAATATTCATTTTTACTTTTTGATACTCTTTTCATGCTTACTTTGTTACTATATTCCCATTAACACATGAATATCATTCCATATATATTACACAGTCATATTTCAAAATGTTTATGTTTAAAAATTCTTTATAATTACTTTTAATTATACCCTTTTAATTGTTGAAATTTGTATTAATTAATGTTGGAAATAATATCTATCTAATTGTATTTCTTGTTGTTCTTTAATAAAGTCTAACATTCTACATATCCATTTTGTATCTATTCTCGCAGAAACTTAAACTCCTGGAATGTCAATTATAAACACATCATTCCTATCAAAATCTCCAACCATGCTAATGGGTTGTTTGGTTTTTAAAGTAACTCTATCACCAATAACAAACTCATTTTCTTTAAAATAAAATTACTACTTGAATTCCTTCCAATAATAACCAAGTGGATTTTTTTACTTCTTCTTTATTCACGTCATTTCTTTTATCCTTATTATTATTTTTAAATTTCATTTTATATAATATAATATTTACAAATTTATTCATACTGTATTTAAATAATGGTTATCTATTATTTCTACAATAATACATAATATTCATATTCATTGAAATTAATTATATGAATTAATTGAATAGTTATAATTTTTTATAAACCTTTAATTGTAAAAACCATTATTATTTATTTTTAACTTAAAAGAAAGGAAATTAAAACGTTGCTTCTTTCTAATTTATATTAATTCAATTTTATTTAACTACGCTTAACATGAATAAACAATCATATTTTATTCCATTTCATTTTTAATAATCTCATTATCTTATTCTCATTTCTTATGAAGAATTTACTGAACAATTATAAATGAGAGAAATGAATCTTTTAATGAAACAAAAATGATATTAATTTAAGTGTATAACAATATCACACTTAAATAACTCCCTATTTTAAACAATAAAATCTTATAGTCATCGTTAAAAATGATTCATTATAAAAGAAATAATTTCTTAATAAAATGTAGTTATGAAATAAACATTCATCTATCAAAACTCTGGAATTTATTCTAATTTATAATTTCATTACATTTAATAAAATAGTTTATAACATTTATTACTTCCACAAAATTAAATTAAAATATTCAAACATTCATTTTAATAAATAAAATTTTTATAACTATGAAACATGATTAATTATGAAACGTTCTAAAAATATAAAATAATTTTAATGTTATAAAAAAAGAAGAATTGAAACAAAAAGATAATTTATTTTTAAATAAATCAACTTATTTTCAAAACCAACTCAAAGAAAACAAAAAAAAATGATCTTAAATACAATAAAAAAGAGTTATAACAAAAAAACTCCAATTAATTCATTTTCTGATTTCCTTATTTTGATGCAACAATTTACAAATGACATGTCAACAAAAGTAATAATTAAGTCATTAGTAGCTGAATATACAACAACACAATTTGACTATAGTAATCCAGTATATATTGATACACCTCAATTAGCAGAGTATTATGTTATGATTTTAACAGAAAATGAATTAACATTAACAGATTGCCCCAAAAAAGCATTTCAAAGACGTTCAGAATTTGACTTTAAAGATATTATAGTATTAAAAATTGTTAATTTAAAAATAATTCCCTCAAAAACAATAGACGATTATAAATTACTTAAAATAGTTGAAACTAAACCTACTTGTCGAAGAACATTTAAAATTATATTTAAAAATAAAGAGGAGTGTAGAACTTGGAATCAATTATTAAATGAAGTTATTAACTCAAATATTAAATTACAAGTATTTGGAATACCATTAATTGATTACCATCAAAGAACAAATAAATTATACCCAATAATATTAGATGAAATATGTGAAATAATGAGAAATACTAATGAATGTTTTACTCAAACAGTTTCTCAAAATGAAATATTAATGACTTTAAACCTTATTAATAAAGGAATTAAAGTACAAAAATGGAATTATACATTAGCTACTGAAGTATTAAAATTATACCTTCGATCATTACCATTTCCACTTCTTCATCCATCAAAAGAATATCTTGGGAGTGTTAATGTTGATGGTATTTTATCTAAAAATGATTTATCATTATTAATTCATACAAAAACAGAAGAAAATATTGCAGTTCAAAAACTATTATTTACAACGTTTCATTTTATTGCAAATAATCAAGTAATAAAAACACCAAGGTCTATAGCTGAAAAAATGACACCTTGTTTAGCTTGGGATAGCCACGACTCATTAGATAAAAGAATGTATGACATCGTAGAATTTCTTATTTCTAATGCTACTGAAATTTATAAAGATGATAAAAAAGAAGAATAATTATCAAAAATAACAACTTTTAGAACAAATAATTGAATTATTTCATTAAAGAGCAACTTTAAGAACAAGAACAATAATTGCTCCTAAAATTAATATTAATAAAATCAATACAATGATTTTAACTCGAGTAGCTTTTTGATATGTTTCTGCTTGTTTAATTTCTTCAACAGCTTTTGATACTTGATGTTCTGTATGGTCAATATTATAATCAATACGATCAATAATTGTTCCTTGTTCATGAATTAACATATTTAATTGTTGTGTCATTTCTGCTAATTCTTGAACCGTTTTAGCTATTTTTTTTATTTCTGCAACTCGTTGATCTACCATTTCTTCTGACTCACTTAACATATTTAATTGTTTTTCATCAAATCCAAATGAATATACACCTTCTTCTCCTTCAGTAGTAAAACAATCGTCAAATTTTTTTGTTCTTTGTTTTAATTTGAGTAAATAACTTTTATTTTGACTTTTAAATTGTTCAGCAACTTTGTTAACTTCTTCTGCTAAGTTTGTTTGAACATTTTGAATTAATGTTGGATTATCTTCTTCTTTAAATCTATTAAATTTAATTACTTCATTTTGTAATTGTTTTAAATTCTATATCATTATTATTTCTTATTTCTTTTTCTCTTTTGAATGACAAATTTATTATTCATTAACAAACCAATTTGATTTCATTTGTTTTCATATCAACTTCTTTACCAATACTTTCATAATCATCTAAATCAATAGACAAATATTTCTTCTGTAATCTTGATAAGTCATCGACTATAATAATAAGTATCTAACTATCACAATTTAAAATGTTTCATTTAATAAGTCAAATATCAAACTTTTATAAACAATGTCTTTACTTTTGTTTTTAATTTCATCAGCAGTTTGTGCCCATGTAAGAGGTTCAGAAATGGTAACTGTTTGAACAGAATTTTCAACAATAGTCCCACCTAAGAAGTTACTTCTTTGGTCATAAAATTCTGTAGTCCAATCTTTAGTAAATCCTAATATGCTCATTCTTTTATTTTTTGTGATTGTAATAATTAAGTTCTTTTTTTGTTTTTGTTTTTTCTTTTTCTAAAATATTATTTTTTGTTTTTCATGTTATTTTTCTTTATTATTTTTTTTATAAAAATAGACTTAAAAAAATAGATGCATTACAGAAGACACCATAAAAAAATATATAAAAAACAAATAACCAAAAAAGAAGAAATTCACATCAACCAAAGAATATAAATGACAGAAGAATGAGTGAAAATAGGTATTATCTGTATAGATAGAGATACATGAATAATCACACTAACCATTACAATAATAATTATAACAATAACTATCACAACATAGATGATACAAATCATTTTACTCATCAATTCATTCATAACCATCATAAACACTTTAATAATAACTTCAATAGAAATAAACAATACCATCATAATAGAAATAAATACCACAATAACACACAAAGAAGGTATAAACAATATCAAAATAAGAAACAAAATAGAAATCAAAGAAAAGAAATGATTGAAATACAAAACCAAGAATATTGGAAAAGACGCATTGAAGAAGAAATTAAAATACTTATACCACAAGAAGTAGAAGAAATTAAAAATACCAAGACTAAAGAATATACATCACCAACAATATGGAGGAGATGGTATTTTCTTGCATGAGAAAAAACCAAAACAAATAGAAAAGCAGAAATTAATAATATTGAGTATTGAAGAAGAAGACAATAATCAATACAACCCAATTGAGATTAAAGACAATAAAACATAAAATAACTATGTAATGAGTGTTGAAAATAAAAATAAAGAAAAATATTGAAGAAGAGGAAGAAGAAAACAGTAAAAAGAAAAAAAGAGTAGAAGAAATAGAAAAGAAAGTAGAGGAGGATATGAAAGAGAAAGAAGAAATGAAAAAGGAAATACAAATAAAAGAATAAACCATTAATAAACTAACAAAAGATATTATGGCATTAAAGAAGAAGCATGAGAAGGAGATAAGCACAAAAAACCACGAGTGCGATAAAAAAATATTCAAATTCCATGCTGAGTCTGAGAGGAAAATGTTTGAAATAAATAATTTAACACAACAATTACTCTTCCTGAAAGATAAATTATCTAAATTAGAAAATAAAAACACACAGGAAGAAAAGAAGAAATATGAGGTAACTTACAATATAACAGACTCATCTGAAACACAAATAGTAAATGACCTCTCCCCCAATGTGGTAGTAGCTGATGAAATATCATCAAGTGAATATGATCTTCCAAAAAAAAGAAAGTTAATGCAGAAATCCATTGAAGAAATGGATATTCAGCATAAGAAGATCATCACATTAGAATTAGATAATCAAAAAACAATTGAAGCAAACAGAGAAGAAGAAATTTTAACACTTTATAAATGTTTTGCTTTAAAAATGTTTGAAAGAAAATTAAGAGGTCAACTTAAAGAAGAAATAATAGAAAGATTAATATATGAAATTGAAATTAAAATAAATGATATTAATGAATATAAAGAAATATTAAAGAAGACATTTAAAATAAAGAATGAAAATAAAAGAGAAATAAATAGAATAATGGAAGAAGAAATAATAAAACACCAATGGAAAGATAATGAATTAAAAGAAATAATATCAAAAGTGAACAAGAAAGAAGAAATAGAAGAAGAGGAGGTAATGAAAATATTTAAAGAAGAAGAAATGAAAGAGCAAGAAGATGTCCAATTTATTAACTATTATTACAATAAGAAGAAAATACATCAAATAATTAATATTATTAATAAAAATGAAATATTAATCAATACATTAGATGATTATTATCACTATATTAAATCTGTATCTTCCACTATTAACATCATTAATAAAAATAAACAAGAAAGAAGTGGAAAGAGAAGTATAGAAAGAATATTACAATCAAAAATATGTAGATTGAGAGATTTACTTCATAATAAACAATATATGAAATTAAAAAGAATATTACATATTAAGAAAAATGATATATATCATATTAAAATAAAAACAATTGAACAAATAAACTATTATAAATACATCCGAAAGATGAAAATAATAGAAATAGAAGCAAGAAAGAATAATTGGAAAAGAATAAAATTGAATTATAAAATGATGAAATATGGAAAAAGGCAACATCTAAATAAATCTAAAGAAGATGAATATCCAGATAATATCTCCACTATTAATTTCTGGAAAGGAATCTATGAAACTAACACTAATATAGATTTTATCTAAATATTAATTTATATGAAATATTAATTGTAGATAAAATTAATGATAGAATGTTCATAATTACTCATGATGAATTAGACTGTGCTATTAAATTTATTGCTAACTGGAAGGCACCGGGAGTTGATAAAATACAAGGATTTTGGATTAAATATTTAGAACAACCAATGAAATATTTAATAAAATTATTTAATGAATGGTTAAACAATCCTAATGAAATACCTCTTCATTTTATTCAATGAAGAACAATATTAATATATAAGAAATGAGATAAATTAGACAAACAAAATTACAGACAAATAATTTGTTTAAATTGTCTGTTAAAAGTATATACATCAATATTAAAAATGAAAATAGAAAATCAATTGATGTTAAATCCAATTGAAAAACAACTCTCATTAAATCAAATTGGATGTAAGAAATATACATATGCATCAAAAGAAGGATTATTATACAACACTATAACCATTCAATTATTAATAAAGGCTAAATTGAAGTTGGTAGAAACATATTATGACGTCTCCAAAGCATATGATAGTATTAATCATCAATGGATTAAACATTGTTTAATTTATTTCAATATCCCACTAGCAGTAATTAATAATATATTATATTTTAAATAATACATATCTTAATTTAATTATAATCAAGAAAGTGTGGGTATGATTAATGTAGAAATATGAATAATACAAGGTGATAGTTTATCTCCACTCTTATTTGTATTATCTATTGACATATTATCTAAACAATTAGATAAACAAATAAGCAAATTAAATATTAAAATGAATGGAGAAGAAAAACAAATCCAGTTAAACCACATATTGTATATGAATGATTTAAAGATAATGAATAATAGCCTCGATGAAATGGAAAAATCACACAAATTAACTAAAGAAATATTTAATGAAATATGATTAAAAATTAATGTAGAAAAGAGTGGGATAATGACTAATATTAATAGTCAAATAAATGGAGAATTAGCTGAACTACCAAGAGTAACTATTGACAATCATTATAAATATCTTTGTATTGAAATATGAGATAAAGTAAATATTAATAAATATTGTACAAGAATATTAAATGATGTGTCTTCTATTTTATCATCATTAAACACTATGAAATACAGCAGCCTCAATACAATAAGAAAGATTAATAATGATATAAACTCCAAATTAAGATATGGATTTTGTATTGTCAAATATAAACTAGAAGAGTTGGAGAAGATAGATAAACAAATAAGAAAATCATTAATACACCTCCAATTATACAGTAGAAATATTCCCAAAAGTAGATTATATGTTAAAATAAATGAAATGGGATTAGGATTAATGTCAGCAAGAGATGAATGTGCTAAAGAATTATTAAGAATATACTTAAAATATAAGTGGAGATCAAACACAGGAATAGGAGAAATGATAGAGGCAATAAAAGAAAATTCAAATTGAATAATTAAAAGAATGAAGAAAGCATTTGGTAAGAAGATTAATTTTAATGAATTAATGAATGTAATAGAATTAAATGAAAGAAAACATGATGTAAAGGAAATATTTGAATGGGTAAATAATGAATTGAATGAAAGATATTTAAAAGAATGGAAAGAAAAGAAATGTGGTGAATATATAAGATGTGCAAATGGCACTTTCAATGATAAGAAATTAACAGTAGCCACTTGGAGGTCATTAAACATAAAAAGAAATGCATTCCTCCAAATAGTAAAAATGCAAGAAGGAGTAAGTATGACAGGAAATATTAAATCCAAAATACTCCAAAATGATGCTTTAAAATATTGTAAACATTGTCATAACACAATTGCATCTATTAGTCATATATTGTTAGGATGTCCTGTAATGAAAAAGAATCAAATATCAAAACATGATTATGTATGTAAACAAATATTTAAACACTTATTATTTACACATTTTAATGAATTTGATGCTATCGACTTTAATAATCCTCCTAAATGTATTAATAATGATAAAATGGTCATAACTTACAATAAAGATTTATTGGTTAATGACAATTAATTCAATGCTAGAAGACATAATATATAATATCAAAATATGAAAGAAAAGAAATGATATATTATAGATGTTGTTATATGTCAAGATATGAATATAAAATTCAATTATATTCATAAAATAAATAAATACAAAGAATTACAAGAGAAATTAAGAAACAATAGAGAAATAATATATGTAGAAATAATACCTGTAATATTATCTATAAATGGATTAATTCACAAAGAATCAGCAAGAAGATTAAAAACACTAAAATTACAATTACACTTCCCCTAAATCCTACGAACAATAATAATAAAAAATATGAAAGACTTAATGTTTTACACATTCAATTCTGGCATCACATTAGAAGAAGAACAATCTAATGCGAGCATGTAAGAAATGAACTCTATTACACCAATAGAGCATAATGAAGAAACTGAAATAAACACTTCTCAATAACCATAAAATCAAATTATGGATATATCTATTAATTGACTATTTTTTATATAAAAATAGACTTTTCGCTTTTTTTTGAAAGACAAACTAACTTTGACGTTAAAAAGTTTGTTTCTCAAGAAAAACATTCAAACAAAAACGAAAAGAGTGAAACAAAGAAAAATAAAAAGTTTAATAATTTATATATTATAATACTTACAAATTCTAAAATCATTAGGATGAATCTCCAGTCCTGAAGAAGTAATCCATGAGGCTAAATTTTGATTGATTTCTGTTCCAATGATTTGAATCATTTTTGAATCAAATATTTTTCCTCGAGTATTAGCAGAATTAATTCTTTCCATTTGATATGATTTGGAGCTTGTTTTACCTTTTTTAACATCATAAGATAATGAACAATAATCTCCTGCAATTTGTAACATAACATGATTAGTAGTAGCATCTATATTTCTTCTTTTGACTTTCTTATCACCAGGGATATTTCCAATTAAATCAATATTAAAACAATTTATTCCCTCTTTCCAAATTGATTCAATAACAAAGAGTTGTTTTGTAGTCTTTCCACGTTTATATAATTTTTTTAACTTAACAAGAAAACCATTATTAACTAATAACCCAATAAGAAATGATTGTTGTGCAGCATCTCTATTTGTTGATGCTCTTTTACTTGTTAATAATGTTTGTTTTCTATCAACATCACCACAAGAAACAGAATAAACACCATTACCTTCTGTTTCAATACGTTTAGCTATAAATGCACTTTTAGTCAAGGTAGGCTTTTTCATACACGATAATTCCATTATATGAGTTTTAAGTTGAGGAAACAAAAATCTTATTTCTATTTTTTATCTCTTGTTCAATTGAGTTTTAATAACAAAAGAAAAAGGAAATATTTATAGTATTAAATGAAGTTTTAAAAGTGAATAATAAAAAAAAATTAATATTATTCTTAAATTTAATTATATTGATCTTACTCATCAATTTGTCATAACAAGTCATATACTTCATTAAGTCATTTTTATAATACATAAAATCAATTAAATTTCTTTACCAAACTCAACAAGTTAAATAAATAATTCTAACTTTAAATCCACCCATTTCAATAATAGAGTTATTCGTTAAAATTTCTTGATCATTATTAAATAATGTTTTTCCATTAACAATACTTCCATTTCTTCCAGCATTCATAAAAACAAATAGTCCAATATCTTTATTATAACTAATATATCCATGTACATGAGAAATAGATCTATTTTCTGTGAATTTATTTAAATAAATGAAATGATCATCACCAGTTTTAATTTTTGCTCTTCCTAAACAATACCTTGAATTAACAATACTTTTACTATCAAGGTCTGCAATTTTATCTTCATCACTTTCACATATTAATCTTGCTTTAACATTTTTCTTTCTACGTGTTGCTTTTTTTTCTTCAACTTCATTCCCATTTATACTTCTTTTAGGTTTTTTCTTTATTCCATTACTTTTATTTTGTTTTTCTTGTAACATAATAGGAGGTAATCTTACTTCTTTTGTTTCTTCTTGGAATGATACTTCCAATGGTTTTACTATTTTAATTATTTTTTATTTTTAATAAACTTTTTTTAATTATGTTTTTTTAGTACAAACATTTTACTCGAATAGTATTACTTGCTCTATAACGTTCTATTAATTCAGCCTTAAGCATCTAATTTGATTTAATTCATTTCTTTTTTTACATTTAATGATAAATAAAATTTTTATTAAATATTAAAATAAAATATTTATTAATCTACAAACAGTTGTAAAATGATTTGTTTGAATTTGTTTTTTTAATTTATCAGATTCTATATTTAACTACATTTTATTATCTCTTTTTATTATTCTTTTTATTGTATTTAAAGTATATATTATCAAACTTCATTCATTCTTAGCCATATAGTATATTCTCTTATTATTGAACTCATTCCATCTCCTATAGTTTTTTGAATTCTCTCTAATGTTTCTTTATCTAATTGATTCATTAAAATATTTAATTTTAAGTTCTTTTTTCAATTAATTTTAAGTTTTACCCTTTAAATTTTTTTTTTGGTTTTAGTGACGATTTGACTTAGATTTATCAAAGAATTAAAGTTAAAATTTTACTTACAAACCAATCAATTTTTAATAACGTCTTCTAGACTTTGATCTTGGTGATGAGTCATAAGATCTTCTTGAGGAATAAGACCTTCTATTATACTCATAATGTCTATCATTTCTTCTTGAATAAGATCTTCTTCTTGAATAAGATCTTCCTCTCTCAGAAGAATAATAGTGTCTTCTTCTAGAACGACTGGTTGATCTACTTCTAGAATAACTATAAGACCTAGAATAACTTCTTGATCTACTAGGAGAATATGATTCACTTTTAGAATATTCTTGAATTTTCCTTCTATAAAGTTTGTCAGTATCAGTTATATCAATTTTATTACAATCAGTCAAATGAGATTCTTCCAATTTATAATTTTCACTTTCATCTTTAATTTTTTCCTTTTCCATTTGTTTTAATTTATCATTTTGTCTTTTCCTTTCAATTTCATCTTCAAATAATCTTCTTTTTTCTTTTTGATCTTCTACTATTGTCATAATTTCTTTTCTTGCTTGATTTAGTGCTTTTTCCCATAGTTTTGGGTAAAGTTCTTTATTTGTAATTGGTTCAACAGTTATTTTCTTTGGAACAATTCCACGTAATCTTTCAGAAGCAGTTGGTCTTGATTTTTCTTCAATTTCAACAGTACATTGATAAGTCCAATGATTTATTGAACCACAGTTTTTGCAACGTTTTGAACTATTATAAGACATTTTAAGAAAAGAAATAATTTTTAGTTTGTTCATATTTAATTTCCAGATCAAGTCAAGTTAGAACTGAGTAATTCCATTTAGTTTTTAATTAATGTCAAAACGTCCAACAATTGTTAAACAAGCAACTGAAGGATCAAAAAAGATTGTTATGAAAGAATGGAAAGAAAGTAATAGTGGAGTAGATAAATATGAAATTGATTCTATAGAACAAGTTATGCCATCTGGTAGTATTTTAATGAACTTTGAAAATACTAGAGCAGAAATGGAGAAAACAATTGGAGCAAAAAATCTTCAAAGTGTAAATTTATGGATTTGTCCACCAGTAGAAAATTTTGATAAAATAATAAATCAAGGATGTGAAAATACTCTTTCTGATTTTAATGCATTCTTTACTAAAGATGTTCATATTGCTATTAAAGATGGTTATCATCCTTATAGAGTTATTCTTTGTCGTGTAGTTTTAGGAAGAGAAGGAAGAGATTATGTTGTTAAATATGGTAAATATCTTCTTAAAAAAGTATGTGCTATTCCTGCTTTTATTGTTACTTTTACTGTTTGTATTGATGAAGTTGTAGCTCGTTCTTCAGTAGCACAAAAAGATGAAGTATATGAACAATTAATTAATAATAGTCATTTAGCTGTAAGCAAAGAAAATTTAGTTGTTGATCTTGGTGATGAAAAACCATTAACTCAATCTAATTCTAAACCAATGAGTCAACCTTCATCTCAACCTGTTACTCCTCAAAAAACAATGAAATTAGAAGGTCAAAAGTTTTGTGATAATTGTGGTGAATTATGTCCTGCAAGTTCTAAGTTTTGTGGTTCATGTGGTCATAAATTTTAATTTATTTAACAATTCTTTTTTTTATTTCTTTACTCTTTTTATATTTTTTTCCTTTTATTTAAAAAAAAACAATTTTTTTATTAAATTTCAATCATTTTCAATCAAAATATAGCTTTAGGCACTCCTTGATGTTTCCTGGAACGAGTTACTCGGACTGGTTTTTCTTTTTTTGGTTTTTTTGAATTAGCTCCTTTTTTTCTTTCTTGTTTTAATTCTTGTTTTCTTTTTTGTCTTGATTTCTTTGATAATCCTTTCATTGCTTCAAAACGTTCTTTTCTCTTTTGTAATAACATTTCTTCATTCTCCATTACTGCTTCATCATCACTAACATAAACATCATCTTCATTTTCTTCTAGATCATTACCTTCTTTAGAATCAATACCTTTTCCATCAACTTCTATTTCTTCTATATTTTTTTGGTCTTCATGAACACTTTGTTCAATATCATTTTCTTCTTCTTTGATTTCATCTTTAATTCCCATATCTTCTTCATTAAATTCCATTTCTGTTTTTAATTGATTAAATTGTTGTTTTTCTAATTTTAATACTTCATTATAATCAGTATCTATTGTATCATTCTTTTCTGGTAGTGGTGGAGTAACAAAATATGGTAGTCTTCCTCTTTGAAAATCATATAATACCATTTTTGCAACAATGTGACAATCAGGTTCACCTCCTCTTAATAATTTTCCTCTCTTTTTAGCTAATTGACTTAGAAAATCTTCTGCATCTTCCCATTGTTTTACATCATACATTTTTCTAATATAATCAGGTTTAACACGATCAAGAATTGGTTGAATATGATGTTCTGGATCTGAAACATTTTCAATTCTAACAACTCCTTTTAAAATTACTTCACTTTCTGTATCTCCTGATGGATAAACAACACCAGGACAATCAATTAAATAAATATTTTTAAGTAAAGTAATATATTGCCATACTTTAGTTTCACCAGCAACAGGAGCAACTTTACAAACTTTTTGTGATCTTAATGTATTAATTACAGATGATTTTCCACTATTAGGATATCCAATAAATCCAACAGAAATTTGTCTATCTCCTTCAACCATCAAATTAGCATATTGTCTTAATAAACTCATTAAACTTCCTCTTCCAAATGGATTTTCCATTGAAGCATGAAAAGCAATTGTAGGAAATTCTTTTGAAAGAACTTTAACCCATCTAGCAGTAGCCCATGTTGGTACTAAATCACATTTATTTAAAACTAATACAATATGTTTATGTTTCATATGTTTTTTAATATGTTCTTCAACATGTTTAGAACGTGTTCCCATTGGATCACGAGCATCAAGAACTTCAATAACAACATCAGATGAATCAACTACTTTCCATAACTCTCCCCAAATTCTTTTTGATTGTCCTTTTTCATATAATTTTTCTCTTGTCATTTTAGTAATAAAATCTGCTTCACCTTTAATATTACGATCTTTTTCAATATCATATGATTCTTGTCGTTGTTTTGCTTTTTCAAGAAATTCTTTTTCTTCTAAAGCAGGTAATTTAGGTTTTTTTCGTTGTGAATTTTTACCAAAAACAGTTTGAAATGGTTCTGCTTCCAAAACATTTCCCTTAAATTCTTTGTCTTTAATTTCTAATAAATTCCATGGTACTTTTTGTGCTTTTAATAAAACTTGTGATGGGTCTTGGACAGTTTCTGTTAATTTTTCTCTAAAATTATCTAATTCTTTTTGTCCAATACTATGAACATTACCAAACCATCTTCTATCTGGTTGAATACGTGCTTCAGGTTTTTCGTTTGATTGGTATTCTTGCCATAACACTTTTCCATTTTCATCATGTCTAGCTTTTGTTCGATACATTTTTAATCTATTGATTTTAGCTTTAGACCTTGGGTTATTAATTCCTTTAGGTATCACACGATTAGGATTCATTGGGTTATTATTGTTGGTTGACATCTTCTTGAGAGTATAATGAAGTTAATAGTAGGTTTTTTCCTTTTTCAAATCTCATTTTATTAAACCCTATAAAATTGTTATATAAAACGAAAATAAAAAAAGAATAATTAATTTACATAATTGTTTTTGAGCGTAAATCTTCTATTACTTCACTTTCTATACCTTGAATTTGTACCATTGTTCTAAAAGCAGTAGTGTCTTGAAAAAGATTGTTTTCAGTTGTTTGTTGAGTGTTAAATGTTTTTTTATCTTTTTCACTATAAAGAATTACTGTTAATTCTTTTTCAATTTCATTAAATGATGGACGTTTAGAAGAACGATTGCGCCAACAACTTTTAATAATTTTCTTATATGGACAATTTTGTGGAATTTCTAGTCGTTGTCCTGATGAAACAAATGACAATATACTTTCTGCATCAGGAAATTTAACTGGATTATAAGGACTTCTTCCTAACCAAATTTCTAATAAACAAATTGCATAAGAAAATACATCAACTTTCTTATTTAATACTCCTAATGTATGAATTTCTGGAGCCATATACATTGGTGTACCAATGTCTTTAATATCTTTACCTAATCCAGATTTATCAATAAGAATTTTTGATGTTCCAAAGTCTGTTACTTTACATACAACTTCATCGTTAGGGTTACTACTTATTACTAATACATTATCTGGTTTTAAATCTCTATGAATAATATCGTTTTCATGAAGATATAACATTCCACGAGCAATGTCTTGACAAAAACGTAATTTAAGGAAATTAGTTGATGGATTTGATTGAAGATATTTCTTTAATGAGCCTAGTGGACAATATTCCATAACTAAACAAATAGATTCTTTTGTGATACAATATCCTATAAATGAAATAATGCAAGGTGAACGTAATTGTTCTAATAATTTTACTTCTTCAAGTATAGAAGGTATTAAGTCATCTATAGAATCAAAATCAGTTTTAACACATTTTACAGCAACATCTATTTTTCTCCATTCTCCTTTAAAAACAACACCAAACGTTCCTTCACCTATAGGTGGTTGAAAGGTATGAATTTCATCTTCATCTAGTTTTGTTGATAATTTACTTCGAGCGTCTAATGATAGTTCAACTGAAAATTGTTTTGCTTTATTAAGGTTTGTTATTACTTCTTCTGAAGAAGTGGAGTTTTGATTAGATAAACTAGATACTGAAGAACGTCCAGAACGTTGTGACTTATTTGATTTGTCAGATTTACTAGTACTAATATGTTGATGAGAAAGATATTCTTTAAATACCCTTTTAAAATGTGAAAATCCTACAGTAACCTTTATACTTTCATGAATTGTAGTTGTACAATGAACACAAATTTGAATTTGAACTGTAACTGAGTCATTTGATTTTACAATACCTCTGCATGGAACAAAAATTATTTCATATTTTGGTTCTTGTTTTCCATGAAAAATGAAATTCATTGTTTCATTTGAAAAGTTAGTAACAATACATTCTCGTTTAGCAATTTGATCTACTTCAGGACAAATATCTTCACTAATAAAATCAATGTGTTGTGGTTGAATATTAAAATATTCATTTCTAAGAGTTATCGGATAACAATATGTTTTATCATATGGTATTATTAAATCATAAAATAGATGTGATGATTCTTTTTGTTCAAATATAATTTTATCATTCAATATATGATACTGAATAAGGAAGATAATTAATAAAATTATTAACATTAATTCATATACTATTATACCTGGAATACAAACCATTAATAATAATCCTCCTTCTGAATATTTTTTACATTCAGTATGTCCATTAGAATACCATCCAGGTTGACATTCACATTCAATACAACCATCCCCTCCATCACACTCTTCTCCCGAGTCAATTCTTCCATTTCCACATGAAGGTAAAAGACAATTTAATCTTGCTTGAGCATAAGGAGTATATCCATTAATACAATGACAATGATCACATCCATTTCCACCATCACATTCTTCATATTCATCTATTTGTTCATTTCCACAAGTTGAAATTGCACACTTAGTTATTCCATTAATCGTTACTGGAACATATCCAAAACTACACATACAAGTTTCTTCAGAACAATAATATTCTTTAGTAATATTATTTGAAGGATCACATTCTTCACCAACATCAACTATTCCATTTCCACATTTTGTACAAACTCCATCCTTTTCAGCATATCCTTCATTACAAACACAACCTCCTTTAGACACAGAACATACTCCATTTAAACAATCATAGGGACATGTAGTAGAAAATTCTACTTGAAATAAACTTCGTTTTGTTGAAGAAACAAAGATAAAATAATCATAGTCTGAACTTAATTGATGAATAAGTCGAGAATTAATTCCACATCCACGGTCACTATATTCTAGACAAATGCTTCCTTTTTCATCACATCTAACATTAGTAAAATCATCATTTGTTTTTGAAACTTGAACAAGATGAATGAAACTATCAAGGTCTTGAGAATTATTACACGTTGAAATCTTTATTGTTTTATCTGACCCTTTTATGAAAAACCATTTTCCTTTTTCTAATTGAGTAGAACAAGATGATGTACTGTAGATAGAGTCAACTGTAGAAACCATTGTTGTGTAATTAGAAGAGATAATATCATTCCAAAATAACTGTGTAAATCTTGAGGAACAAGGATGGTTAATTTTTCGAACATATAATTTTAAGTCTTCAGTTGGTACAACCCCATAATTTCCAAAGACATGAAGATAATATTTTCCAACTGTAAAGTATTTCATTAAAGAAGCAGATAAAATATAATCATTTATATCATTATTATTACCTTCACATGAAGCAGTCCCAGTTGAATTAATTGTGAAACATTCTTTTTCGATTGTAATAATTGAATCAAATCCATAGCTATTTTGTTGAACTGTAATATATTCAATAATTGGTGTTGTGTATTCTCTTTCAGTTTCAATTACATAATACCCTTCATCAATAACATCTAGTTCAATCCAAATTCCTTTTACATAAGGTGAGCTTGGGTCAAATGTTAAATAACAATGGTCTATGGTTAATTTAAAATCTTTTAAATAAAGTGTATATTCACGTACATTATTTAATAATAATGAACTTAATTGAATGTCTTTTATAGTCATTAATGAATTATCTTTAAGCATTTTATCACAAGTATATAACTCACTTCGATTTAATAAAATACATTTCATAAATCCTTCCATATAATATCCATCTCCACAACTATGACAATCCCATTGATAAGCTGGTTGTTGACAAGTGCTACATTCATTTGGACTAATGCAACCATTAATACATCCTTCAATATCACATTTTGGAACACACAGACTATTAACACTCATATATCCTTTATCACAATAACAATTCGTACAATGTTCTGTGGAATCACATTCTTCATCAAAAATATCAACTATACCATCTCCACATATTGAAATAGAAATAGGTTGACTATAACTATATTCAATAAAATGTACAATAAATAAAAGCCAAATAACCACTAGGTTTGTCTTGGTCAGAGACATATAATATGATAAAAGATAATTTTTTTCATTTTCACATAGTTTCTTTTGATTATATCTTTTTTTTCCCGATTTTTTCTTGGTTTTTTCTCTAGCATTGTTACTGCGAAAAGTCAAATCATGAACCTATTTTTAATTTTAATTTAGTTTAGGATATAAAAATGAACAAACCATTTTCTATTCTTATAAATATTCTTATTATTATTTTTGATTTATTTTTAATCTTTCTATTTTTAGTTTTATATTTTTTTCAATAGGAAGAACAATTAATTCTTGTTTAATCAAAAACTAAGGTAATAATTGCACAGAATTAGTTTTTTAAACCCAATTACACTCCTTTTCTTAAGAAAGAAACTCCAGAAAAACATTTAAAAAGAATTAGATTTGTTTATTTTTTTTAAGAGGGTTGAGGTGAAAAGAAACTTTACAAAGGGGACAAAATGAATGGCAACGAATCCACTCATCAATACAGATACAGTGAAAATAATGTTTACATGGGAGAAGTTTCATTGACTCATTTTCACTAAAAGGTTCCATACAAATTGGACATTCATTGTAATGATATTTTGTGGTTGAGTTATGTTTAATTACAGGAAAATTAAAGTGATAATTTATTTCATCCTCACTGAATGATAACTCTTCAAATAAGTCAATAAAATGTTGAGAGGATGTTGTTACTTGAATACAGTCCCAGAGGTCAATCAATGCAATAACAGACATTGAGAGTTTTAAATAAGTCATCCCATCAATATCAATGGATAATAATAATATCATAGTTGATAAATAAAAATGGGATATTCTTTCCATTGAGGTTAAAAGAACACATGTTTGTAATGATGGAAGACATAAAATAATAGTAAGTATTACAATTAGTCCTTTGCATAAAGACCAAAAATATATGAGATATATTTTAGATGAAAAGACTGATGGTGTTTCAAGAAAAATTTCAGAGATGATAATAAACATTTCAAGAACTTTGATTGTGACGTTTGTGATAATGTCAATTGTTGAATCTATTATATCTATCTGATATAACATTAAATGCACTTCCTCCTGAGAAGAGTTTAAAAGAAGCAGAATGATACAAGAAATAGATGAAATGAAAAGACAGAGACAAATAGCCACAATATAAATTTCATATTTAAACTCTTTAAGTAATTGAATAAATACATCATTTTTTATTCATTCATTCTGTTGTTTGAATTATTATTTTGAATAATTATATTATACATCAATTATGAGAAGATTTACGAATATGGTTATGACTCATTGTACTTTGATGATTATTGAATTGAGACTAATTTATATTTGGATAATACTTATTTATTTTCCAATTTACCTTTAGAATCTACTATTTTATATTATGTTATGTAATACTTTATCAATAAACATTATATCTAATTCTTAAAACAATATTTATTCATTAAATAGAATCAAGGTACATTTTAACTGAATAAGAACAATCAATGTAAATTATGAATTAAAGTCTACTTTAAAGATATAAAAATAAAAAACGATATAGATATCATATAACTAACAAATAAAAAAGGTTATTTATAAACTAATAAATATGTGGTTGGTTGTAAACAATATGGTGTTGTTTTTTTTAATCTCATTTATTATTGTAGAACAAGAATTTTATTAGATTATTCCAATAATTAGAATAAAAACTAATGATAGTCTATGTGAATTGACATCTTTATTCTGAAAACTACTTTGTAATTAATAAAGAATTATTAGAGACAATAAGTAAGTCAAATGTTAATAAGTAATATTAGGAGTCTTTCATACTTTCATAATAAACAAAGTCACCTCTTTTTGTTCATTGACTCTACAATGTCTTTAGAATTACTGAACCAATAGTAGTATTAGCAAACATAACACCATCTCTTTTAAAATGAATATTGTTGAATTTAACACAATACAATAAATGAAATTTTCATGTTTTTTATTTATCAGAATTAATTCACAACATATAAAACACAGTAGTTGGTCATTTAAATGTGTTATAAGTTAATGTACTATACAATAAGAGATGAGAATTAGTGATGTAAAATTATAATTAATAAAGAAAAAAAAGATAGAAAAATATAATAAAAAATAAGAAATTGAGAGAAATGAATAAATGACGAGTAACTAGAACTGTAAAAACATAGCAAAGAAAAATGTCATCAAACAGAATGAGACAAAGAAGAATTGCCCAAGAGACAAAAAACATATTAACAAACCCACCTTCTGGAATTAAAGTAACTATTGATGAAAATAACTTAGATTATTGGAAAGCAATTATTGATGGACCACCAGACACTCCATATGAAGGAGGTAAATTTGCATTAGATGTATTTCTTCCAGAAAATTATCCATACAGCCCACCAGTAATCAAATTTGCTACTAAAGTCTATCACCCTAATATTTCATTTTTTGGAAAGATTTGTTTAGATACCTTAAAACCTCAAGGATGGGTATGTGCAATGCAAATCTCATCTGTTTTACAAACAATCCAACAATTACTAGCTAATCCCAATTTAGAAGATCCATTGAACTTAGAAGTTAATAATTTATGGTTGTCTAATCCTGCACAAGCTAAAAGTAATGCTCGTGATTATACACAAAAATATGCACATGCCCAATAATTGAATATCATTATTATAGGGATTTTTTTTTCTTCTTATTTCATTTACCAAATATTACATAATATGACAAATATAATTTGAATTAAACAATGTTGTTCATGAAAACAAACACTAACAATATCACAGTAGTATCTCTCTAACTCTCTTGATACAAATATACAATTAATTAGAAATAGGTGATGAGACTTTTTTTCAAACATTGTGATTCATTCATCATATCATTTGATTTATCTGTTAACACTTGTTTCTTCTCTTCTACCTCAATTATTATTTCTATTGCCTTTGTTTTTTTTTCAAGTTTGACATAATCAAATTATTAAAAGTAGGAATATCAACTCTATTTATTTTTCATTTCATTCTTTAGGTTTAATTGAATTGAATATCCTGTTATTGTATTTTAAAGCTATTAAATCTTACAGCAATGTTTATAGATTTTTTTAATACAACAATTCTTAAATACTAAATTTGTTAAATATTTGAATATACATGTTATTAACATATCAGATATTTGAGTCTCATGTTAATCTGAATTGAATTATTTTATGCTGTGTTTCAGAATTGTTAGTTGTTTCAATTTTCATGTAACTACTCAAGTATAATAATGAGTATTATCTACACAATGTATAATATTTATGATATTGAAATGGTTATAGGAATAATTCTCAATTTACTTAGTGCTTCTATGAGAAATAAGAGTCATTGCCATTACTCTCATTTATTATCCATATGTGATTACAAAACAATTAGATGCATTTGTTTGATGAAAAAAAATAGTGAAAGATATGATATTTTAATATCTGTCAAAATAAAACAAATTATTTATAACAAACCAAGATGACATTTGTTATTCATAAAAATATTCATTCTTTATCTCAAACTAAATACATAATAACTTTCATTTATCTTTTGTTCATCCTCTACAATTTAATTCGACTAATAACTGTTTCCATTGATGTACAAATTCTTCTTTATTTTGTTTTGACCAAACAATATTCTCAATTCTTCTTATTATTTTCTCATCACACCCTCTTCCTTTGTTAATCATTTCTTTAAGAATACAAACACACACATTTTCATCAATAATTATCATTCTTCTAATATTTTCAATCACACCTTTTTTATTAAATACACATTCAGCACTTGCGTTGATTAATCCAATAACTATTGAATTATATTTTTCTTTAATAACTCCCATTAAATTAACATTTCTCATAATGAATGACTTTGTTAGTAGAATATTTAATGCCTCACTACTCTCTTCATTAACATGTCTGTTATGATGTTGATTTCCCCAATTGATTAAGTCGATTAAATAAAACATGTCTTGTGGATTAGACTCACAAATCATCTCTGAACAATATTCAATAACAATTCTAATGAATGAAAATAATGCTTCTCTTATATCTGGATAACTAATAATATCTCTTTGTATAACTTCAATAGTCTTTTCAATGATATAATGATAATATACACTTATTTGTTTTTTACTTTCTTCTTCAAGTTCATTAATAAGATGATAATATATCCAAATTACTGTACTATCTCGTTCTTCTTTGTTTCTTATACAATATCCTTCTATAATTATTCCATTATATTCTTCAATAAATTTTCTTCTTTCTTGATTTGTTATTATTTTAATATAAATAATAAGTATTTCATTAATTCTGTTTATTATTTCAATGAAACTTCTTCTACTAATATTCTCTTCATTCTTCTCTTTAAGTATTTGGTTAATCTTTTTATAAATAGTCATTAAATTATCAACATTTTCTTTCATATATTCTTTATTAGTTGTATTTCCTCCTTTAAAATACCATTTTATTCTTTCAATACATTCTATTACTTCTTTTTCATTAAAAACTTCTTCACTCATTAATCTTTTTATATTTCGTTTAATATTTTTTACTATCTTTCCAATAACTAATTCTCCATATTCTTTCACCCTTTCTATTGGAAGATATTTTGAAATAATTCCAAGACTTTCATATATTTCTTCTTGTTCTTCTTCATTTAATATTTTTATTATTCCTTCAATTCTCTCAAAATTCATACAACTAATAATCCCCATTTTATAATAAACTATTCCACAATTATCATGTAATTGTTTTAAACTAAGTATCACTTTCTTTCTAATTTCTCCTTCTTCACTAATGATAATTTCTTCCATTTTTTTAATTATAATTTTTAACATTTCATTACTTTTCATCATCACTTCATAACTACCATCAATTATTTCAAGAATCCCTTCAAAAAGTTTAATTCTATTTGTTTTATTTTTCTCTTTGTCTATTTTATCCATTAAAATATCATTTATCTTAACAAAGATAATTCTTCTAATTTCAATATCATATTTATTCATTGTTTGTGAAACATAATAACTCATTGACTTGATTTCTGTACTGTTATTACTTTGGATTATTTCATCAATCATTTTCTCTATATACATTGGTTCAATACTAAAGATATAATTAATAATTCTTTCTGTACATTCATTAATTAAACTTAATATATCTTCTACCTTTCTCTTTCTTTTCATTCCTTTTTCAATTACATCTATTGCTTCTTTATTTTCTTCATGGCGTTTAATGATTTCTTTGCCAATAATCAAATGATATTTTTCTTCTCGTTTATTTATTGTTTCATTATTCTTTCTCAAATAAAATTCAATCCCATCAATGATATTATAATAAATTTCTTTATCCTCTATTTTCATACAATTTATTAAATAATTAATTCCATCCTCTATGTCTGTTCTTCTTTTCATAAGATCACTACATTTTATTAACTTAGTAATAATCATTACTTCTTTCATTATATTAATTTTACCTTCAATTCTAAAACTTCTTTCCTTTATTTGGTTTATTTTGTTACTTTCTCTAATGTACTTCATAAAATACCATATCATCTCATTGCCTTCTTTAGTTCCTTCAATTAAATTATATATACATTCATTTCCTTCTTTCTCAATATTCTCATTTATTCTTCTTTGCATAATATTAATAATTCGCTCCATCATTCTCATTTCTTTCTTTTCTTCTTCTGTCATCATTTTGATATACTCTTGTACCGTTTTGAGACTATGTTCAACCATTTCATTGTTCTCACTACATTCACTTACTTTCATCAAATATTCAATAATTTTCTTTCTATGTTCTCCAATATCAATTCTTCTTCCAGTTATTCTTGTTTCTTTCTCAATTTCTTCACTCAATATTTCAAATATATCAATTGAATTTTTACATTTCTTTTCATTGATAAATCCATTTCTAATAATATCTTCACTGAATGTAAACCATTTTGTATCCCATTCTTTCATAATAAATATTACAATAATTTCATTCATTTTATTTATCAATCCATATGCTTCTTCGTTACACACCTTATTTATTTGTTCATTAATGTATTCTTTTATTCCTTTCTTAGTTTCTTCTCCTATACTATTCCATCCATACTCTAATTTTCTCTTTAAAATATCCATTGCATAGATTTTTGTTATTATACTTTGACTTACTTCCATTATCCCTGGAACTTTTAAGTATGTATCATTCCTATTGATAAATTCAAGTAATATCATCTGTGCTTTCTTCATTTCTTCAATGTCTCTTGTTTGAATGGCTGTGTTAATGACTTTATCCAATAATGAGACATCGAAAGGAATATTCACATTCAAGATATTCTCCATTTGTTTTCGTTTTGTTTTTTCTCTTTTATTTTTTTACTTTTTTAGTTTTTTGTTTTAAAAGAAGAAAATACAAAAAGATAAAAATAAGTGAATGGTAATTTTATTTCTCTTCATTTCTTGTTATTTTGTTTTTATTCTTTCTTAACTTTCTATTCTTCTTGCTTCTTTCTATTTCTTCTTTCTCTTCTTTATACTTCATGTGTAGTTTTGTATTCTTAGTGTGTCTTTTCATTATGATTTTCCATGTTTCAATTCTTTAGATTATTTTAATGTTTTTAGACTTTTTCTGTTTTTTTTCTATTCTACCTCTTCTATCTTCTTGTTTATTAGTTTTATTCTTGTGTTTAATGACATGATTGTGACACAACGTAGATTAACCAACATCAAATAACAGAATTCCAACCAAATTAAACAAATAAGAATTACATCATACAAACCAACAAACACAACAATAAAAGTAAGTACCAAACAATAGCAACGTTCTATAAAGATTGAACAAATATTATAATGAATAGATTTATATGAAAATGAATAAGAAAAAGAAAGCTTTGTTATGATAATTTGTTTTTTTATTTTCTTTCATTTTTTTGATGTTTTCATTATTGACTTATTCAGCTAAACGTATGTGTGTTGTATAACAAATATTACAATTTACAAATAAAGATGACATTTCCAAAGAACTTCTGTGTTGTTGATAACGTTGAACGAAAAGAGATGTTATTTTGAATAACACAAATTAAATAACACAAACAATAATAAGGAAATAAATACACAAAAATAATAGTTTCTGTTTAAAGAAAAATAAAATCTTAGAATATTTCCTCTTTATAAATGACCCATTTAAAGTTTTCACTTTTTTCATTTGTGTCTGACTGGAATGAATGGTATTGCCACAACAGAGAGAAAAAAACGATCAAGAAAAGCTGCTTTTTATGCAACAGAAAAGCCTGTTATAAGTTCTAATAATGAAGTTGTATTTAATTGTCAAGCAGTATTACCTCCTTGTTCTATAACATACTTATTAGACACCAATGGAAGTGTTGAAATTGGATCAAGTGGAAGAGGAGATAATTTTGATGGGATTCAAGACATTGAATTAATTGTTTGTTTTATCGTTAAAAATCATTCAAAACAAAATTCATATTTGTTAGAAACATGAATATCAACCATCAAAACGATATGAAATTGGTATTTCTCAAACAATTGGTAAAAATGATCGTATGCAAGATACTGCAAATGTATTAGGTGAATTATTTCCAAATATTGATATAATTGGGATTTTTGATGGACATAATGGAGAAGAAGCTGCAAGATATTGTTTAATATCAATGAAAAATGAATTTAATTGTTTAAATCCAAAAGATTGTGAACATCAATTACCACAAATATTTGAATCAATTCATAATAATATTTCATCACAAACAATCAGTGGAACAACAGCATCTATTTGTATTATTCGTTCAGATGATGTTGTTTTAGCTCATGTTGGTGACTCACCTATTTATTTTTATGAAAATGGTCATTTGACTAGAATGACACAAAATCATTCTGCTACATTTGAAAAAGAACGAATCATTGCATCAGGTGGAAAAGTAATAAACATTAAAGGGGTTGATCGTGTTAATGGTCAAATAAATCTTTCTCGTTCTCTTGGAGATAAACTTCTACAACCACCATTAACTTATAAACCTGATATATCAATTCATTCTCTTTCAATGAAATATATTGTGATTGTAACTGATGGAGTAACTGATTCACTATCGTTTGTTTTATTTTTTCTCAATTTAATTGTGATTATTTCTTTTTTTTATAGAAGATAATTCATAAGAATAGAGATAGTGAAATGGAAATAATCTTATCACAACCATTATCTCCAGACCAAATAGCTGCTACAATAAGAAATAATGCTTTTATTAATGGAAGTGTTGATAATATCTCTGTTATTGTAATTCAAATTATATAATACTTAGATTACTCTTTTGTTTTATTGTCTACTATTTGTATGAATTGAGAA